GTCCGCCTTCTGCTTCGATCGACGGTAATTCCGGGCTAACTCGTCCGTTGACCGTGGTATCGTGTGCGCGAAACGGAACTTTCGATACACTGGTGAGCGAGATTATTGTTGTGTTGTATCTCTTGAAGTTGCTTCGTCCCTGTCTCTCGTACACGAGGCCCTCTCTCTAGAGAGAGCGTGTTTTTATGACCCTACGGATTCCTGGCCAAGTGAAATCTCATCGTGTGCGACACGCGGTGTGCACAAGTGCTCGTAAGATGTGACTTCTCGGTGTGCGACTGTGTGTGTGTGTGCGCCATCCTTACGTCGTTTTGTCGAACGCTAAAATCGTCTGACGCGCGAGTTCACGTTTCTATCTTTCTCTCTCTCTCTCTCTCTTTCCGTGTTGTAACGTATTTTCGTGTTGTATTTCGCTATACACCAGGAGTACGAGGCCGTACGGTACCCCTATTGTCACCGCTGATTGCGTAGTTCGCCGTCAAATGACCTTAAGGTACGTTTCTCGTCGTTACGACACATTCTTTGCACTCTATTATTTGTCACGTGGCGGAATTTTCACCCGATCATATCCGATGGGACTCATTCATGACTCGCGGGCGAACGGGTCGCACGCATTCCTTGCCATTGCGAGACTCGTTAACGGCCATCGATTATTAAGCGGATCGAGTAAATGAAAGTACGTTACGAGTTACAACAGGTTGGCCGTTTGTCACACGATTTTTCTATCGTGTCTGGCATTCGACGATTAACGCGAGTTCCCGAACGAACGTGATTCGATGCAACTGATGGCTGCGTTTCAAGTGGCATTACATGTATACGTATACGATCTGTTAACTCTCGTAGGGGTCATTGCTGACCGGCAATACAAATTTAACGTAATCGAATTAAGAAAGGAATACTTTACAATTTTTTTTCGCGTTAATGCATCGAAAAGGAAGGATATTCAAGTTCGCGGGAAACTTTTTAAATTATAGATCAGAATCGGATCACGTTATCGATATGTTTTATGTCAATATTGTATCGATGATAGAACCCCTAGTTATAGAACTAGTTATTACGAAGATATTACAACCAGTTATGGATATTAAATAGTAAAATCAGACAACGCCAAGCTCGCTAATAGTGTTGCTACGATATGTCGCATTGTCCATGGCTACTTTTACTACAGGAATCATCGCGTATTCAGGACCATTTCGGTATTAAACGATGACGCAGATGTCCGAAGACTCCGATTACTCTTATTTGTGATCGAGGTTACATATTTTTGTCGCGAATACGCTGCACAAAATAAGGTAAATAGATAGACGCGGCAGAAAAAGTTACTCTTGTCTCTTCCATTGGTGTTTCTGTCGCCTCGTTTTTTCTCTCGACAACTCCCGGCATGTTTTCTTGTTGCGCATAGCACGGTCGCTAAAGCCATCTCTGGTGTGTGTTCGACGCGTGATCGATCGACCGATTTTTCTCTCCGTGAAACGTCCGCTCGTTTCTGGCTAAATGTAGAATCGGCACGTGGGAGTCTACGTGGTTCGACACACGGTATCCGTTTGCTATTTATCGGGGCTTAAATTACGAATCGGTACAACATCGAAGTAATCCTACGTCAGTTTTACTATTTTTATCTCCGTTTTTTCCCCCAAGCACATTGAACTTGCGCGTGATCCATTGCGTCGCTTAACGCTCGAAGGGCCGATATCGGCTCACTTTTGACCCTCAGCGTTAACTTTTATTGCACTCTGGATCTAAACGAAACATTTGACTCTCGAAGGATGTAGATGGAAATGACCATAAGTATTTATTTCGTTTATCGTCTACGGTATTTCTTTACGAGACCACGTGGTCATCTGTTGCATCGAACGGACGAGGCGTGTCAAGTATTAAATCTCATTGACAATATAGAATGCGCCATGATGTATTGGTCATTACATGCCGTATATTGCGGAACACGTACGATGGATCGTCTATTGTACCGGGTATTTAACAAAGATAATACGATGTGTCATAGATCATGTACAGCATATGTAATTATATATATTGGGTACACGTATGTCATTTTTTGCATCGGATTAATAATGAACATACATGTTGCGTCAGCGGATGCACTGTACAGATAGTATAGGACGCACATGGTGTGTCATTTATGTTCACGTTGAATGTTGAATACATATAGTTGTCATGCAGTAAGAAATGAATATACCGATACAATTTTTGAACGTAATCGAATGCTTTCGAATAAAAGGCACAGACCAAAGTTCGTATAAAACACGAGGACATACTAGAACTGTTAAGAATAGATTTCTATTCCAGTGAAAGCATATCGTGTAGGGTATCTATTTCTGGATATAGGAAAACGCGTAACAAGCTGATTTTTAACGAAATATTTTATTATTGACGCGTCATTCAATCTCGCGACGATGCGACACGCGATCGGTGCGTGATCTTGAAACTTCATAACTCGTTGTGAAAATATTGCCATTCGATCGGAGTCGTTTCAGATTCTTCGTGTCACCGCAGTAAACTGGTTCGCGGCGTTTCTTGTCCGCTTCCTGTGTCGTACAATGACATAATCTCGGTAGAATAGAAGCGCCGGCCGCAGTCGGACGTTAATTCTCCGGAAAATCAATTTTCCATCGTAACGAGTCAATAAAGTAACAAAGCTGCGCGCGAGAATTTTCATCCCGTTATTAAACCGGATAAATATATATGTTTCCTTCGAATTTGTAAACTGAAAAGAAAACAGAGAAACGCATATTTTGTTACGAAAGAATGCGATTCGAAAGAAAACACACGTGCACAGTATCTTGTTTATCAAACTTTCGTCAGAATCTGTTATGCCTTAGCGTCATATTATGCTTTATGATAAAAAGAAACAAAGTTAGCCGATTATTTATAGATATCGAAGAGTGTAGACGAGCAGGTTCATTAAACACGTGCTTGAATAAATATGGAGCACGTTGCAAATGTCTGTACCTTTTTGACATTTGTTTAAGTTTACTGTTTGTACTTAGAGTTTGTATATTCTGTCATGTTCGCAATATCCTTAAATTTCTTTGGAATCTTGAGATGTTAGTAAATAGAGCAAATAGGATGAAACTCCGGGTTGCGCTTGTAACTACCCTCCCGGCTCGAAATAAAAGGTTCAAGACCTGATACACAATGTTATTTTTGATTGGTACTTTTGACCATCTTATTCTGACATATCCTGTCAGAATTTATCAACGATTTAAAAAATCTTAATGTATAGAAACCTTCGGTCTGCCATCGTTGGGAATTAACTAGAATTAAAACCGATAAGAAATGTTTTCTTTGGTAAGAAGCGTGTTTCTGAAATATAGGTTGTATTGTACTTTTATCATTTAACATCATAATGAATCATCTATGATGAATGAGGTCACTGAAATTCACAGGAACGACTATCGGTGATTCACTATTCGCAATTAAGGAATGAAATTAATTTTTATTATTTGTCACTGTAACAATTATCGTGTAGCAAGCGATTATCGAAGTCGATTCCACAATTCTGAAGTTCATAATTTTTCGAATTTAGATTGGATATCGAAAGAACCGTCGGTGGATCGAACCTTAGACTATCGTTATCGAGCGCTTCTCGAAAATTCGTAAATCCTCGCATCAGGTGTGAAACGTTAGCGCGTTATGCGACTTCCCTTTCGTTCCATCAGATAAGCACCATGAAGATAGAAATACGAAAAATATGTAGCTGATACAAAGAACCTGACGTCACAATCAGATTAGTTTCAAGGTTTAACGTATATCTGTTTTTCGCTTTTCTTTAATTATTACCAATCCAACGACGATTAATCGACTTCGTAAAGCATAACGAGTTTAAATTTTTCGAGTCTTATTCGTCAATCGAAACAACGCTACCCCATTCATCAGAAAATTTCCTTTTCGTCATAGGTGTTTTTCTCGTATTCCCTGATAAACTCTACGACGATATTCACAATGACTCTTGACCCGTGATTTCTTGTATTTGCTGTTCATATTGTTGTAGACTGCATCGTGATAATTAACAATGGATTTCCTTGTTTAACATACCGTCCAGCTCTGTAACTTTCCTGAACGAGCTTGAATTTCCTACTTTTATGCAAACGGCGTTATATACTGTTAGGTTCACCGGTGGTCGATGATGGAAATTACTAGACAAGCGGTAGACTCTCCTATTAATGTCACTATACATGTAACACCTCGACTTGACCTATAATACTACGAGAATGTTTAGACAAATAATGTAACTCCGCGATATATTAACTGTTCTTTCCTAAGCAGACTAAACAATGACTAATTGTTCGTCGAAGTATAGCAAAGAATGCTAGAATAAATGGTATCGTTTAATCGGCCTGTATCACGCAGCCAGTGTCCTTGTTCGTTGACGATGTACAGAACAATGTCAGCTACGCGAATTATCTTGTGACATAACGCAACATAGATATTTTTCTGCCGATTCGTGTTCGTTGTTTCGCTCGCGTGCCAATTTGTTCTATCGCCAATTCTGGGACCCGTAACAGCGAACGTTTTTCGAAAGATCGTAGTTCACACGTGTCGAGATTATTAGACGGAAATAATTTGTCATCTTTGTTTACGAATATCCTTTAATTGGCATATCGTTAGATCGGAGATACATTATTATTTTTTAGGTTTTTATTTTGGAGCGTGCATGTCATTTTCGGACAAAGACGATATGTATAATAAAAGTATAACACCGAGTTTAGATGAAAATTCAGCATATTGCATGTATAAATTTATTTGGAAGAAATCGTATACCCGAAATTGGCGAATTACAACGGGTTGCCATAAAACGTACGGTACCGATACTTCCCTGTGAAAATTAATCTCGCGGCGAGACGAAAGTTAGAGGGTAAACAGCGTTAGTGAGGCTATATTTAAAGTTCGCTAGTTGGGCTTAAAATATCTAGCAGGGAAACGCTGACAGAAGGAGATAAAGTGCAACGCGTACCGACAGCTTAAACGGCAACGGTAAATAAAATTTTGTTTACTATTATCCCGTCATTGAATTTCGCTCGAATTTATGCATTTGTATTGAGCTTAACCGACCGGGCTTGGTTACGGCTCGAACAAACACGGCTTATACGCCGTGTACGCGAATCTACGCGCGTATTGTTTTCTGAAGCTGGTTAGTGGAAAATTGAGCAATCTAAGATTAATCGATACGATGAAATTTGTTAGAAGCTTCGCTCACAACAAAATTTCACAGAGTACTCTTAATTAAATTATTCTTAACGTATGCGACGCGTTCGTTGGATAACGCGAGACACGTTGGGAGCGTGATCGATTGTATTAGCTAGAATAGGACACACGCGGTGTGTCATTGATTGTGTATATGTAATTGAATAAGTGGCACATGACACGCAGGATGTGTCGTTGGCTGTACCGGAAGGACAGAGCATGACAGTGCGTCGTCTACTGCCTAGACTCTAGGCCCTAGAGTTACGCACGGTATACAGCAGCTAGGATACG